TGGACCCTGGACTTCAGAAAAGCAGACTTTGACTTCCTCAGGGAACTGATGGGCAGGATCCCCTGGGAGAATAACATGAGGGGAAAAGGAGTCCAGGCTGTATTTTAAAGAATCCTTATTGAGGTTGCAGGAACAAACCATCCCTATGTGTAGAAAGAATAGTAAATATGGCAGGCGACCAGCTTGGCTTAACAGTGAAAAGCTTACAAGAAGTGGAAGCTTGGACAAATGACCAGGGAGGAGTATAAAAATATTGCTCAGGCATGCAGGAGTGAAATCAGGAAGGCCAAATCACAACTGGAGTTGCAACTAGCAAGGGATGTTAAGAGTAACAAGAAGGGTTTTTACAGGTATGTTAGTAACAAGAAGGTGGTCAGGGAAAGTGTGGGCCCCTTACTGAATGGGGAAGGCAACCTAGTGATGGAGGATGTGGAAAAAGCTAATGTACTCAATGCTTTTTTTGCCTCTGTCTTCACGAACAAGGTCAGCTCCCAGACTACTGCACTGAGCAGCACAGTATGGGGAGGAGGTGACCAGCCCTCTGTGGAGAAAGAAGTGGTTCAAGACTATTTAGAAAAGCTGGATGAGCAGAAGTCCATGGGGTCAGATGCACTCTGACGAGGTTCAACAAGGACAAGAGTCCTGAACTTAGGCGGAAGAATCCCATGCACTGCTACAGACTAGGGACTGAGTGGCTAGTCAGCAGTTCTGCAGAAAAGGACCTAGGGGTTACAGTGGACGGAAAGCTGGATATGAGTCAACAGTATGCCCTTGTTGCCAAGAGGGCTAACAGCATTTTGGGCTGTATAAGTAGGATTATTACCAGCAGATCAAGGGATGTGATCATTCCCCTCTATTCGGCATTGGTGAGGCTTCATCTGGAGTACTGTGTCCAATTTTGGGCCCCACACTACAAGAAGGATGTGGAAAAATTGCAAAGAGTCCAGCAGAGGGCAACAAAAAATGATTAGGGGGCTGGAGCACATGATTTACGAGGAGAGGCTGAGGTAACTGGGATTATTTAGTCTGCAGAAGAGAAGAATGAGGCGGGATTTGATAGCTGCTTTCAACTACCTGAAAGGGGGTTCCAAGGAAGATGAATCTAGACTGTTCTCAGTGGTAGCAGATGACAGAACAAGGAGTAATGGTCTCAAGTTGCAGTGGGGGAGGTTTAGGTTGGATATTTGGAAAAACTTTTTCACTAGGAAGGTTGTGAAGCACTGGAATGAGTTACCTAGGGAGGTTGTGGAATCTCCATCATCGGAGATTTTTAAGAGCAGGTTGGACAAACACCTGTCAGGGATGGTCTAGATAATACTTAGTCCTGCCTTGGGTGCAGGGGACTGGACTAGATGACCTCTCGAGGTCCCTTCCGGTTCTATGATTCTATGATAATTTATGTTAAAAATCCCTCCCTTCAAAAGAATTCTAAAAGGTTTGAGGTTCACACCATACCTTGTAAGATGATTTCCTTATTTCTGCCTATTGCACTCCTATTAATCAGAAATTATCATTTCTTGGGCATATACTAGGTACATGGTTAATTTTAAGCACATGAGTAGCTGTGTTGATATAACAGGACATGTGCCTAAATATTTGCAGGATGAGGCACAAATATATCAGTCACAAATGCTCAAATTAACTACCAGGACAACATGTGAGCAATTAAAAATTGAGCCCAGTGAGGGGAAAAGATAACAAGAGGCCCAAGTGTGGTCAAATGACGTCACTTTAACATCACTGAACAACAAAACAACGGCACCTGTGCAGATATTAGTAAAAAACAGCAGCACAGTAACTATATTTGATACGGAGACTGTATACAATTTTAGAAGATATTTCTGGGCTTTCGAAAAATATCACCAGTATTAACTCTCATCTGCTATATAATGAATTAACAAAAACTGCTGTTGGAAACTAGTGAGGTTAGGCATGACAGTGCCAGACTGAAAAAGCAGAGTGGACATATATGAAGAGAAGCAGGAGTGCCTGGAAAGAGAACTCACTAAAATTCTCAAAGGGACAAATGCAATTGGTTTTCATAGAATCATAGGACTGGAAGGCACCTTGAGAGGTCATCTAGTCCAGTCCCCTGCACTCATGGCAGGACTAAGTATTATCTAGACCATTCCTGACAAGTGTTTGTCTAACCTGCTCTTAAAAATCTCCAATGACAGAGATTGCAAAACCTCCCTAGGCAATTTATTCCAGCGTTTAACCACTCTGACAGTTAGGAAGCTTTTCCTAACGTCCAGCCTAAACTGCCCTTGCTGCAATTTAAGCAGATTGTGTCTTTTCTTATCCTCAGAGGTTAAGGAGAACATTTTTTTTCCATCCTCCTTATAACAACCTTTTATGTAATTGAAAACTCTCAGTTTTCTCTTCTACAGACTAAACATTTTTTCTCCATCCTCCTTATAACAACCTTTTATGTACTTGAAAACTCTCAGTTTTCTCTTCTACAGACTAAACAAACTCATTTTTTTCAATCTTCCCTCAGAGGTCATGTTTTCTAATCATATTTGTTGCTCTTCTCTGGACTTTCTCCAATTTGTCCACATCTTTCCTGTTATGTGCCACCCAGAACTGGACACAATAATCCAGTTGAGGCCTAATCAGTGCAGAGTAGAGTGGAAGAATTACTTCTCGTGTTTTGCTTACAATACTCCAGCTAGTACATCCCAGAATGATATTTGCTTTTTTTTGCAACAGCATTACACTGTTGACTCATATTTAGCTTGTGATCCACTATGACCCCCAGATCCCTTTAGCAGTACTCCTTTCAAGGCAGTCATTTCCCATTTTGTATGTATGCAACTGATTGTTCCTTCCTAAGTGGAGTACTTTGCTTTTGTCCTTATTGAATTTCTTCCTATTTATCTCAGACTATTTCTCCAGTTTGTCCAGATCATTTTGAATTTTAATCCTATCCTCCAAAGCATTTGCAACCCCTTCCAGCTTTGTACCGTCTATTGTTTTCTTTAGAAGTTGCTCCCTGACACACACACATTGGGGCTTCAGCTCCTCATATAATACAGAAAGGGCTGACAGAGTTCATCAGTTTGAAAAAGGAGGAAAAATGACAAAGCAAGGCCCACTGAGCCTGATTCACCTGGGTTATTTCACTTTAAAGCAGTGTTGCTAACTCTCATGATTTCATCATAAATCTTACAATATTTGTTGTTTTTTTCTTAAAACCCCAGCTCCTAAAGGCATATGATTAGGTGAGAATGTCAGCTTTCATGGGGGGGGAGGGGCATGTTTCTAATCCTGATGGTTATAGAGACAAACCTGGAAACATGTGAATTTGAATGAACTCTAAATACTAATACTCAGATGCCAAATAAGTTCCTACAAATTATTATTTATTTTCATCTCATGATTTTATAACACTTGTAGTGGCAATATTTCAGTGGAGTTACACAAGTGTAAAACTGGAATGAATAAGACCCATTATTTAAAAACTATTAAAATGTAATGATAAATAAAGATCTTGAATGCTGCAAGAAAGAAAGGAAAAAGAGACAATTATCTTAATGCTTCATTTTTTGCTGCTGAAGTGACAAAAAGGGCTGCATTTAGTAGAACAAAGTAGATTCTGAAGGGAATCAAATGTGGGGGACTAATATTACATATGGCATCAGATGTTCAGCTATCTTTCCTATGGCTTCTCCCCGCTCTTCCCTCTCTCTTTGCTGCTGCTACTGTTAGTATTAAACACCCTGTTGCAGAGTTTGGGGAGAGGCATACACCACCAGCAAAATCTAAGAAATGACTACACACATACTGGGAATACAAGATGCAAAGTAAACACAATGACAAAATAGAGAATTGTTGTCTTTGCTCATATGCTGTTACAGTGATCTTAGATGTAGTTTTTAAAAACAACTAGTTAAGCACTGTCAGCTGGAAATGTGACGTTCAAGTTGGTGGTGCCCCTTTAAAGACACAAAAGCCAAACTGGTTCTGTTAAAATAGACAACGTACACTTCCCTTGGATATCCTGCCTCTCCTAGTGCTCAGTGCCACAAGAACACTGTGGGACAGAGTAAGGCATGCAGAATCAAGGGGAGGCAGTTTGTGCCTCCTCCCTTCGGGGACTAACCTGTGCAGTGACCCCTATGAGTATGTCTTCACTACAGATTTACCAGGATTGAGTCACTTGTTTGACTTAGGAGCATGCAACCACATTGCAAAGGAACAATTCAGTCCCATGCAGTATCTAAGCACCCTGTATCCACACTGACATTAGAGTTATTAGTGGGAGAGAAAGATTTTGAAGTGCACCCCATGGTTCCTAGATCCCCCAGGAACTGTGCTGCTGTCATAAGGCTTTTGCTGGTATTGTGGAAGAAAATGTCTGTCCCTTCTGGGAATTGTGGGTGGACATTTAGGAAACCCCACAGTTCAATTTAACTAGTCCCTTAAGGGAGTTTGTATTGCAGGACACAGGTCCCTCCAGGTGCTTCCTCTCTATCTTCCAGCCTGGCCACACCCAGCTTCTGCCCCTCCCCTGTGCCAGCCTGGGTGTAGAGGTCCCCTGGTATCCTAGGGTATGCCTGGGGTAGGGATGGGCATGGTTACACGTGTCCTGTATATCCATATCTGCTGCAATGCCTCTCTCTGAAGGAGACTTTTGGGCATCCCTGAGACTATACCTGCATCCACAGGGCTCTGCTGCTGCTCCAGCCCTGTGTCTGGGATTGAGAAAATCCCACAGCCACATTATGCTAATATATTTAATCCCATTGGTTGGCGATGATAGATTCCCCTCACCTTCTCTGGGCTATGCTAATGAGAGTTAATCGCATTGGTTGGCCCGCCAGCGGCAGCTCCAAATATCATTTGCATGGCTGCGTATGGCAGGCATCTCTTTGTTGTCAACCCAGAGCCTGCGAGCTGTGTGTGTATCTAACGCAGCCCTGGTCCCTGCCTGTCCGCCGCACCTGCTTCCTAGAGAAAGGCTGCGAACAGCGGCGGCTGCAAGAAAATAACTTTCGACCCCGGTTCTCCTCGTTCTCCGTTCTGCAAGAGAGGCTGGGACTGGTTCAGATGCTGTGGAGCGTCCCCTTCCCAGCACAGGACTCGAGGCTGCTCTCTGCCTTTGTGTGTTTAACGCCGGCACTGGCTTGGGGCAACCCGTTCGGTTTCCTGCTTCCTTGTCGGATTGTTGCTATCTGAGCCGCGGGGGAGAGGCTTTGGCTGCCAGGGTAGGATGGTGGATCTGGAGAGTGAGGTGCCTCCTCTTCCTCCCAGGTACAGGTTTCGGGATTTGCTGCTGGGAGACCAAGGATGGCAGAACGACGACAGGTGAGTCTGGGGTTCAGCTCTGCTCTGCGAACACGGCAGAGGGAGACAAAAGAGGGGTGGGGGTGGGAAGCAGGGATATGCTAACGACCATCCCTCTTCTTCCATTTTCTACAGGGAAATTCCTAGAAACGTCGGACCTGTTACTATTTACCGAGTTATGTAAATAGCAAATAGCACAGAGAGTCTTAGCCCATGTATAACAAGAAAACATTCACACACACACAGAACCAATGTCTGAGTGCCTGTGTATATATAGAGAGACAGACACTCATCCAAAAAGGAGAGAAACTATCTTGATTCCTTCAGGGGACAGTCAAGCTGCTTTGTATCTTCCAAACAGTGAAGGAGGCTGACTTGACCGATTGAAGTGCTCACCCTTAGACCAGGAAAATTGGCAATGGGGTCGGTCTCCCGTTTTGCTTCTCTAGCAGTCAGAGCTGCACTGATTTATGAATGCCCAGCGCCCCTGCTAGTAGACACTGATGCTGCTATATTGCAGCTCTCCACTGAAGATGAAAACACAAGTTGCAGAGTAGTAACTTTTAGTGGCCTAAAGAAAGAAACAGCACTGACATTTATTGTGCACTGCAATTGTATTGTGCTTCTGGATTCCTCCTGGTGTACAACAGATAAGAATTATTGCACACTGTGCTGAGTGAGAGAGGCAATTAAACATTGCTGTATATTGGTACACTATGTATTTGACTTCTCTAAGTGTATGAGAGTTACAAGACTAAACTCAATGTGACTATCAAATTTTTCCATAAGGTATTTAAATTTAAAAAAAAAAATCTCGTCTAAGTCACAGAAACAGTCACATTCTGCATTTGAAACGTCAGACATTAAAACTTTCCCTGTGAGAGGCTATACTGATCATATACATTCATTACAGAGCTACATGGGGCTCAGGCACCCGCAGTGAGATCTTCAGTCTAGCACTGACATATGGTAACTTAGGGCAGTGGTTCTCAACCGGGGTCCGGGGTCCCCTGGGGGACCACGAGCAGGTTTCAGGGGGTTTGCCAAGGTTTCTGCCCTGGGCCCGAGGGCCAGCATTAGATTTGCTTGGGCCCAGGGCAGAAAGCTGAAGCCCCACGGCAAGGGACTGAAGCCCAGAACCCTGAGCCCCGCCACTCAGGGCTGAAAGTGAAGCCTGAGCAACTTAGATCTGCGGGGCCCCATGTGGCAGGGGGCCCGGGCCGTTGCCCTGCTTGCTACCCCCTAACAATGCAGAAAAACAGTTGTTGTGGCAGAAGTGAGCTGTGGAGTTTTTATAGTATGTGGGGGGTGGGGACCCTCCAGGAGAAAAAAATTGAGAACCTCTGACTTAGGGCATATCTACATTGTGACAGGCCAGTCGTTGTTTGGTTTATACATGCAACTATGGTAACACAACAGACCATTCCTCTATGTTAATACATGGATATCATGTAGTCCATGGATTCTCAAACTGAGGGTCAGGACTTGTAGGAAAGTTGTAATCATCTCCCCCACACCACCTTTATTTTTTGCTAGATAAGAAGGTCTCAAACTATTTTTCCTCTGTGGGAACATGGTGTCATATTATGGAAATAGTTGAGAATCATTAAGGTAGCAACAGTGTTTGCTGGTGATAATTCTACATATTTTGCCATCCAACTTACATGGTTTTGTAGGTGCACTTTTTTTCTTCAATCAGGATGGTAGACATAGATCTGAGGACCAATACAGTACTCTCATTTGTATTGTTTCAAGGACAACATGCAGGTTTAATTCTAAATCATGAAAAAGTTTTGTGTGTGTGTCAAGTAAATCAAATACTGGAAAGTGCTCCCCCCCAAATTAAAGTAATAAAACATTTTCTTTTTTAAAAAATGCTATTTTTATTATTTAAACTACTGTGTATCATCATCAGCAAGCTCTTCATTATAACATGCTAAATTAATACCTTCAGAGGACATCTATCTATGGGCAAGTCATTTTTCATTGGACAACATCTTTACTGCAGTAGTAAATCATAGCTGCTAATATACCTGTACATGATCCTATCATGCAGGAACTTGTAGTAGCAATGTCAATTTAAAAAAAAAATCACATGAAAACACTGAAATATTCTTTTTCTATTCTAATACAAAGTATTGATAATCAAGTGTCCAGTCTTGCTTGCATGTTAGTCAATGGTGAATCCAAATTGACTTTTAGGTAATGGGATCTGGCCCCTCAAAAGATGTAGTGCATGAGACCTTCATTGGCAACTGAACAAACTGCAAGCGTCTGTTGAGCTGTAGAATTTCCTGTTTGAAGTATGAATAATAAAAAGAGAACAATGTAAATATTGCTACTTTGTATCACTCTAGAATTGCTGTTTATATTTTCTATGATTATTGGTTATTTTTAAACAGACAGCACTTTTACTGTAAACTCATACCCAGGGATTAGTGCAAAGCAAATTGTTACTTTAAATTATTTATCAGTATTGGGTACTAAATTAAAACATGAAAGTGTTAAGATAAAGAATCTTGTTTACTACATTATTAAATCTGACAAAATGTGGATCACACTTCTTTTGCAAAAGTCTAAACCAATTCTGTACAGTTATTACTATGACATTATCACTTATATGAATGATTGATATATGGTTTTGCATAGAGACTCTCATTCTGGGGATATTTTGGGAATATTACAAATACTTTCAGCACTTAATTTCTGGAAATATTTAATGAAGGGAGATTACATAATGTGGTCTCTAGGAATGCTGGTTACTGGTTAGCTGTTATTAGCTATTATTGAGTAGTCACAAAACTGATGCTACACTAATATTGCATACTTATTTCTGAATGTCATCTGTTTTATTAGTGTGCTACATAAACATGAATTTGTTTTTGACAGACCATAGTTCTATTCTTCTTTTGGGTACAATATTCATTTTTGCTTAAATCCCTCTTTCCTGACATTCTTGTGCACCCGGTTCACCTAAATTCAGAAAGCAGGAGTTAATGTAAAGACCTTTAATATTTATATCTGTAAGTCACCAGGCCTAAAATGTAACTTTATGTGTGAGTGTCAATCATGATGTATTAATTAGGTTAGTGGTTCTCAAACTATTTACCATTCACACCACCGTCTTTTCAAAGGACATGAGTTCAAGTCCCATCTTATATTCTAAAGTCAATATTCATGTATATCAACTATTAATGGAATACCTGAATTCTAAAATACTTGTCTTGTGTCTGGAAAAAACACATACACCATGAAAATACTTTATATGCCATTCCTTTTCATAAAGAAGCCAAAAATCTAGGGAATTGCAACTTAAGTTCTTCCTTTTGGAGAGCTCCGAATGTGATTTGTTGGCACTGGAAAGTGAGAAGACTGTTCATCAGACCAGACCACCTCCCACAGTACCCCAGTAACATGCCAGTCCTCTCCAGGCTCCAGAGCCCATTCAGCATTAAGGAAATACCATTCCTCTGCCACAGAGTCATCCAGCACATCCTTCACTTCCCTATCAGATGCCTTTCTGATCCCAGGCTCAATAGGGCTCATGTATGCCCACCCTCCAAATTCCCCTGAAGGTCAAGCCAGACACAGCTCTAATGAAAATGATAGCCCAGCATGGCCCTGACATTTTTGCTACACTGACCTCATGAATCTGAGAACAAAACCTCAGCCAGTAGTATGGGAGAAATTGAGGCCTTCATGGCAGGACCACCTTCTACAGTATTCCAAAATGGCACAGTGACTAAGACCTTACTCAAGGTTTTTACCTAAAATGGTGTCTGACTTTTATCTTAACTAGATGATAACATACCTGTCTTCTTCCCCAAGTTTCATGCCAAATGGAGAGAGGCTAAACTCTACCCGTTGGATGTTGTCAGGTCTGTTTCTTACTATATACACAGAACAAAGCCATTTAAGAACTCTCCTAGATTGTTCCTTACATTTGCTGACATAAAGAAAGATCAACCTATGTTCACCCAAAGGATGTCAAAATGGATCTCAAACTGTGTTAAAATATGCTTCATGATGGGCCACTTAGACAGACACACATGAACAGATTAAGACCCATTCCACCAGAGCTCAGGCAGTCTCTGCTGATTCCCTGTGGGGTGTCCCAATCTCATTGATTTGTAGAGCAACTACCTGAAGTTCAGTTGACAGCTTCTCCCAGCACTACTGCTTGCTTGAGGGCTCTAAATCCCATGCCCACTTTGGCAGATCTGTCCGGCAGTCATCATTGCAGTAGACTGAGCATCTACCTCCTTGCTGGAGGTCTCCAGATCCAAAAACCAGTTTGGCAGAGCTGTCCTGCAGTCATAATCCCAATAGACTCTGAGCACCACCTCCAGAATACAAATCTGCTTGTGAGTGAGTCACCAGAAGCGGAATACATGTGGACAATCACTCAAAGAACAGCAGTTTTCCTACAGTAACTGTGGTTCTTTCAGATGTGCGTGAACATGTATTCCACAACCTGCCCTCCTTCCCTACGACTGCCAAGTCCTTAGCAATAGACATTCTGTCTTAGCAAAAGAACTAGAGTGAAGGAACTGGAGACTGCCCCCCTTTTATGCCCTTCTCTCTGGGATGCTGGAGGGCATGTTGAGCACTGGTATGAACCCAACAGACTGCTATTTCTGGAATTTCTTTGGGGATATTTATTTTTGTTGTCTAGTGTTCTCTAGTTTTCTATATTTTAATAGGTATTATTAAATCATAGATATTTGCTTACTTAAAATCCATAAATTCCTACAAGCCACTCAGTTTCTTGCTTTGCAACTAAAGACAGTGTAAACACCACTGTTCTTTGGTTAGTCAGAAGCTCGGTCAGTCTTGCAACTGATAGAAAAAGTATTCAACATATGGTTCAGCTATTTTCATATTTAAAACTTGTTATTTTCCTTTAGTAATGCTGGCACAGGTTACCAGAAATAGGCTTCAAAATTAAATTGAGATAAATGGGGTTCTTCTTAGAAACATATTCCATCTTTATTCTGTGCATGGAACTACTGTTCCATTTA